CACCTCTTGGACCCCGCCGGCACTAGTGGGATGGGCCAGCCTGGTCCCTCAAGTAGCCTGGACCCCTGCTGTGAGGGGCTTGGCAGGGGACCCCCAACCCCTGGACTGGCACCCGGAAGCAGACTGGTGACTTTTCACGGCCCTCCCAGAGGACAATCCCTTGCACGGGTCCCGGCCTTTTGGTCCTTGTGAGCTGGGGGGTGGGGGGTGAGCCCCCGCCCCCCCGCTCAGGAGGCAGTTTGCCCCCCCCCCCCCCCACATAAACAATGTTTGATTTTGGGGAAAGGTCCAAAGAAACCCCTCCCCTCCTGTTCTTCCCGCGGAAGTCGACCGGCCCCACTTACTTTTAGCCGCGCACCAACGTTGAGGTGGAGGCAATCGTGAAACTTTGTGAAGGTGAGGAAAACCTGATCCTGGGCTTTAATTTTAAGCTGGATGTAAAGATTGAGCGGGAGGCAGATGGGCTGGAAAGGAGGTGCGTGGACGTGGCTCTCGGTCTCCCACCAGTTCCAGAACTTCTGCCGCTGTCCTTCCTCGTCGAAGAGAGAGCCGTTGCAGAGGCCCAGGTGCAGCCTGGGGGAAGGAAGGCCCCGTTAAACAGGACGACTGGGGGCGTGTTTGGGATTTCTGGCGGGAGAAGGAAGGATAGACGCAGCTTCTCCAGAATAACTCTGCCCTCCCTGGAAACCCAACAGGGACCTGCATCCTTAGGCCAGTCGCTCCCTCTCAGCCCAGGGACGGAGAACCATTTCGAAACCAGAACCTTGCCAGGGAAAGTGCAGGGAGTCCCCAGAAACGGACTCAAAGCCCACATGCAGACACCAACGCAGAGCATTTATTATGCGCACCTTCCATAAAAGCTTTGCCAATGTTGGAAATGGTCGCGAGAAATGCTGCCTGGTTTGGCTGAAAACCTTCGATCTCCCTGCTCTGCGTTAGGAAACGTCCCCAGATTATTTTTTTTAAGAAAAACCAGCACTTTGGCTCTCAAAGCTTTGCTCCCTTTCACATGCAATACGAGCAAATACAGCCATAATCTCCCATATTCTTTAGGATCTGACTCCTGATTAAGATCTATATAGGTACTCCTCGACTTACGTCCCTTTTGTTTAGTAACCAACGTCGCAACTGCACTTCAAAGAAGTTACACATGTGGTTGCAAGTTGAGAATGACGTGACTGTCGTTCTGTGAAGCGGCTTTTGTTCCCCACCTGGCTCTTGGAAAACGGAACGACTGGAGCCTGATCAGCCCCAAAGGAGCAAAGCCGGTCAGCAGAGGGCGGCTTCTCCTGCCTGGGGTTGCTGCCCTTGTGCTGCTGCTTAAAGCGCTTCCCTTGCCTTACCTGAGTCTCCCTTTGGGCTGGGAATGGGCTGCGTGGCCCTGGTTGGTGAAGAAGGCCAGAAGCTCCTGGTCCCTGTTGTCCCCGTGGACGCTGTAGGTGAACTGGGTCTCGCTCAGGTAAGTAATGAGGATGGCAAGGCGGCCGGACGGGTAACTGAGAAGGAGCTAAGGAAGGATAGGGTTCATTTTGGGTGGGGGGGGGCTGGCTATATTAATGTCTCAACGTTACGTGTTTATCTTAGCAACGTGGCCTTCGTTTTTGTAATCTTTATATTTATATCTATTGGCAAAACTACTCCTGCTTATCCTGAAACGTCCCGTTCAATGGAAGAGCCCCGCAGCCACTGCAGAAACGGAGGCTGATGAGGCTGCCCTGCCTTCCTATCCTCTGGCCAAGGGCTCAGGCCCAGCCCTCCAGGCCACCGTGGGAGGGAAAGGCTGCCCAGGGGCCCCCAGGCTTCTCCACGCCCCTCGGACTCTGTGCAGCGCTTGTGCCCCTCAGAGAAAGGGATTTGGAACCAAGACCCTCCAACCCCTCCCTCCCTCTCTCTCCAACCCCAGGGGGGGCCCAACCTTGGCGACTTTTAGGCTGGGGGACGTCAACTCCCAGTATTCCTCAGCTGGGAATTCCACGCATCTTACAGCCACCCAGACTGGACAGTCCGGCCCTAAATGCGACTTATTGGTGGATATTAGACTTGGCCTGTTCCATCCGGGAAAAGAAGGAAGAATATCTTGCCATCATGGTAGTATCTTTTCACAGGCTCGAAAGGGTGGCAAAGCTGAGGAAGGAAGCAGAAAAAAAACAGGGAAGGGAAAAAAAGAAGTTCTCCTGAAACCCGGCCCCCGCATGTGATCGCATGACCTCCCTGGCATCAGCCCTGCTGCATAGCCAGCTAAGAGGAAGGGGGATTTTAAGAGGCCAAAAGGTTGAGGGGGCCCCTCTCTCTCTGTCTCTGTCTCTGGTATAGTGACTGGTGTCTTTAGCTTCCAACTTGTTTGGTCTTAGATACGACAGTTTTAGATTTGTGAACTGGCAGAGCACCTTGTGCGTTGGGCACCCATGCGTTGAATAAATAAATAACACAAGAACGTTAAACTTCAAGAAATGAATATCTAGGGTAAAAATAAGGGAGCTCTTTAATGAATAAGATATGGGGAAATAGAAGTTCTGTCTCTGGAATTAATCAGAGTTACCCAATAACTAGTAAGAATAAATTATATGAAAACCAGACATTTACACCTGGATGCAAAAATCCAGATGACCACTAGATAGTAGCAGAGTTGTTTTTCTAGTGGCTGCCTGAGTTTTGGGAACCCAGAACTGGAAAAGGTAGACTAGAGGGAAGGACGTCTTCCTGATCAACAGTTGCCATAGAAAAGGGACCAGGTGTCTGCACCAGGTGTCTGCAGGGGTGGCTTTTTCAAATGCAAAAGCCTTTTGGAACTGGAGGTCCATCTGAACGTTGGCCCAGGGGAGTTATCCGCCCACCTGGATTGGAAAGATGACCTTGAGAGACCCCAGCTGACCGAAAGGAGCAGGAAGAGGCTGGTTCTTGCCCACGCTCAGCCTCTCTCTCTCAGGGCCATTGTGGCGGAGGAGGCTTGGCAGGAAGGAGGCTACCTGGGGCTCCTGGGCGGAGGCGCTTGGCAGAAATCAATCAGCCGCACGGATAGGCTTCAAGCAGCTCTGTGGGGG